GATTATGGAATACCGAGGGTTTGGCTCGGTTTGTAGCTGCTAATGCTTAGGAAAACCTTGTAGAAAGACTATCATGGTGCTACAGAACGAAAGCGCGTTTTGTGATTTTCACAACTTTTTGCAGGAATGTTTTCAAACATTTTAACCTACTAGTACACTTGCGACTTGAACATTTAAGTTCAGCATAATGTACATTGAAAAAATTGCAGTTTGTGTGTTTTACTTGTTTTTTTTTAGCTGACATTCTTTTGTCCTTCAGTTTAAAGGTTCATTTTCCAAGGTAGTCTGTCGGGTATTATGAAATACTAGATATTTCAAAATACCCAACACATTCCATTTTCTTATGTCATCTATAATATGCTTCATGTCATGAACTAAAGAATCAGAAAACAAAGACGCTGAAATATTTTCTGTAACGGAAAATTCTCCAAAGCTTAAGGAGGGAAAATTTAGATTCAATGAAAAAGCTGTTTTTTGTACAATCACCTTGACTATACTGGAAGGTGAATTTGGTTAATAAAAGCTAAACAGAAATAACATTCACGTATTCTTAAAATAATGGCTTTTAGCTCTATAAATAACAACGTTTATGAAGACTTAATTAGTTTGTAATGTGTGTCTTTTCTTACTTCCCTCTACTGCCCCTTGTCTACTCTCGGATCCGGCTAGATGTGTGAGGAGAACTGAATAATCAGTCAATATGATTCACTCTAATTATTTTACTGTCACAAAATATCAAGGAAGCACAGTAATAATCCAGTTTAGATTGTTGATGAATACTAAGAGCGCGAAGGTAAGACCAGATAGCCTGGGGATAATATTTACGGACCCTCAACTGATTTCTACGATAACTTATACAAGCTCAATTTCAACTACGCCGCGCACTACAAGTTATCCTCAAACTTCTATTTAAATAATGCTTTCAATACCTGTACTCTTGTAAAGTCGAAGTCCTACTGTTGAGACCTTGAACGCTTATACTTGATGGGATCAAATCCGATCCGATTGATCCTCACTGGGAAATCATTACTACACACTTTTAAAAACTTAGATCCGCGCTGCAGTAACTCACGATCCTCCACTCACTAACTCTCAAAAGTCGCGAATACAGAATTTATATAATAAATTTAATTTGCATAATCACGTTTTCTTACCTTCGGTGAAAGTAGGTTGAGTAAAATATTTCTCTAAAAAAGTCCCCGAGGAGTTAGTGGAAGGAACCGTATGCATCCGTCACAATCCATCACAAACATATCACAATATGTTTAAACCACATATTCCATATCACCAGTCAATGACATAATACCCTCCATTTCTCTTTTTCTTAAGAAACAACTTTTTTTATAAGAACAAAATAAATATCATTTTTTGACAAGCGATAATTCCTTACACTATTTATTGTCTATATCCATGATGATTTGGGAGACTTTTATCGAAAACCAGTTAAGTTATTTTAGGAAATGCAAATGCATAAAACTCATCCATACTCTAACGTGTGTGTGATCTGATACTTTATTAAAGCGTACTTATTTTTGGAATTTGTACGCTTCAGACAGAGTGCAACGTAACTAGAGTCCGGAAAAATCTATATTTAATTAGCAACTTAAAACGCATCATGTGAGATTTAAAAGCCTTTTAAGTAAGTTTTCAGACTCCATTACGTCAGTTAATTACACGTGAAACTTATTTCTACCCTGCAGTGAAGTTCTCCTTTTTGTTTTCTGAAACTATTTTTTCTTTCTCATTTTTAATTCTTTCCGTCACTCTCAGCTATTGCATAATTTAAACGCCATCCCCTGAGGCAGACATTTTTCTAAAGTTTTTAAAAAGAGTCCACTCGTTGGAACTTTCAGGGAAAGAAAGTAACTCTTAAGCAATCGTTTAACTCAAATAACATATATTTAGAAAGTGAATTACGAGTACTGAGGGTAAAATGTTACCAAATTAAAAATTGTCACAACACTTGCATTAAACATTTTCATTTTTAGAGGGTAATTTCATTTTTCACACAACACACACATAATTCGTAAAATATACAGCCTTGAAAATGTGACAACATTGCATGAAAAATATTTTAAACATTTTTAAGCAATGTTCTACATTCTTTTAATGCATCTTACCATTGTGGGATAGTCTTAGTCTTAATCAAAGTAAAATACGGTATGAATGAATTTAAGATAAAACTGTATTCTAACGAGTTTAACACGGGAGAAGGCGAGCACTTGATACTAACGTTAGTGTTCACGGGGGATGACGGGGACACCCCAGTCATTTTTTTTTAGAATTATATTTATTGTACACGATAAAAATCACAGTAATTAGTTAAAGAAATTTTGTTGCCTTAAAAAAAAATCAAGACATAAATGTTCATTTCTGGAAAATCCAAATAAAATACTATTACTATTAAAAATAGACTAATGTAATACTTTTATACTAATAATAAACAGAATAAATTGTTTTTGTGATGATCTAAAGCCTATTAACAAAATAACTATTTTAATAACTCTTATTAAATACTGAAAAATATTTTGTTTAAATCTGAATTTTATATGAATTTTTGAATTTTGCCCAACAAAAAGTAAAAATAAATTATCTTTACTTTTATACACATTTTTAATACACATTTGTTTTCCTCAATGCCTTATTATCTTAAAATTATTAACTCGATGCTAAAATGTATCTCTATTTCCTTCCTATGTAATAATTTTTGTAGAGCGATATTAATTAATTGTGTGTTACCAAAAAATTTAAAATAGATGTTTTATTTATAGGCCTATATGTTTCTATATGGTACCCATATAAATTGGAAAAACTGGGGGAAATCAGTCCAAACAGCCAATTGAATATTCTTTTTTTAATTATTGTTTTATGTAATATTATTTTTCCATCAAAATCATGTTACATTTAACCAATATATAAACAAAATACTTTTTTTTAACTTTATATAAGAAAGAAATACGGACAGCATAAAATTCATTAATTTAATTTATAATATAATTACAGATTATAATCAAAATACATAATGGGTACTAATTTCAATGAGATATATGGGAAACTATTCTAACTATGTATCGGAAAGCATTTAATTGAAATGTTCTCCTGTACTGACTTCTCAGTAAAGTTAAAATTTTCTGTACTATATTTTCTATAAAAGATGGCATTGAATCTATGCATAATCCTTTAATTAATTATCTTAATGTAGCAAATATCCTAAATATGGGAATAAAATTTTATTTCTCTTAAAATTGCTTTAGCTGATACAAAAACAAATAATATAAAAAAAAGTTTTAAAGTCAATACCTACTTAAGTGAACAAAGATAAATTTAATTTTAGTTAATTTTTATTAAATAGTTACAATTAATATAAATATGTATATATACACACACATCACAGAATCAGACTATTACATTTCAAAATACACTCATGTTCCTAAATTAAGGATAATGAAGTTCAGGCAAAGAAAGAGACAGAAGCAAAACAAATTTGACTAATTTGTAAGGTCTATTTATTAAACAAAAGGTAAAGAGCAAAAAAGATGCTATATGTTTGACATAATTAATAAAAATTGCAATTTTTACTTCCTGAGGCAAATATCAAAAAAGAACCTACTTACAAAAAACAGTATAACATGGTTAGTATGATAGTTAATACGGAGTATGTCTCCCGCATGATGCAATACAGGCCTTACAACGCCTACGCATGCTGAGTATCAAATTATCAATCTGATCTTGGAGAATATTACACCACTCATCAAGCAATGCTCTCCGAAGTTCCGGTAGACAGGTGGGAGGAGGTTGACGGGCTGCAATTCGTCGGCCAAGCATATCCCACACATGCTCTATTGGATTCATGTCCGGTGCGTATGCTGGCCAATCCATACGGGTAATATCGTCCTATTGAAGGCATTCGTCTACAATGTTTGCACGGTGAGGAAGGGCGTTGTCATCCATAAACAGAAATTCAGCACCCATGGCTCCCCGAAACAAGCGTACATGTTGTTCCAGAATGACATCCCGATAGATGTGGCCTGTCATCGTTACACTCTGAACATACAGGTCAGTTCTGGAACCAAGAATAATTCCTCCCCAAACGAGCCATCCTGCACCACCGTAACGGTGTCGTTCAATGGTGTTCTCGTAGTGGTAACGGGTACCTGGCACTCTCCATATGAAAGTCCGGTGAGAATCAGACTGCAAACTAAACCTGGACTCGTCGGAAAACATCACACAAGACCACTGTTGCGGTGTCCACAATGCATGCTCTCTACCCCAGGTTAATCGCAGGCGACAGTGAGTTGCGGTAAGGAGAACACATCTGGCAGGCCTACGAGCATATAGACCAATGTGCCCTAAGCGTCTGTACACGGTCTGCCTTGAAACTGTCGTACCGGTAGCTGAAGAGAGCTGACGAGACAGGTGTGATGCTGTGCTCCGTCTGTTTCTTTTGGCATTAACTGCCAAATACCGGTCTTCATTCGGCGTTGTAACTCGGGAGCGACCTGTGCTGTAACATCTACTCACATTACCATCATCTTGGAATCGTTACCAAATCCAGGAGATGACACTCTGGGCGATTCCAAGTTCCTCGGATACTTCCAGCTAGGTACGTCCACATTACAGTCGTCCGATAATTCTACCACGTAAGAAATCATCCAAATGCTTCCTTCATGCCATAACTATGCGGTTATTGCACTGAAAGGCTTTTTAAGCGCTTGTGAACATTTTTACTTCTTTGCCACCATTCCTTATATACCCCTCTCTTACACTCTCGTCATTGTGATGTACTATCCGCGCCATCTGGTGGTAGCCTGTAATTTGCATATTCTTCTTCAAGATGTGTGTGATAATTCTACAGGGGAAATTTTTATTTTAGAGTTCAATTTCTGTGTGATTCTGAATTATCCTTAATTTATGGACATGAGTGTAGAAAGGGATTTTCCTTCTTATAAAAGTGTGGGACTATTTTTTTTTGTTAATGTTTATTCATTAATTAGATTTAATTATTCTGGTGGAATTCAAACCCATCACATTTAGATTAAAAATCCAAAGCGCTATTCATTGCGCTACAACGACACAGCGAACGATTTTCCTTTCTATTTATGCTGTTGGACTATTATTTTTGTTTGTTGCTATTAATTCATTAATTAAATTTAAAAAAGAATAAGAAGTAACAAAGAGAAAATAATAGTCGAACAGCATACATAGAAAGGAAAATCGTTCGCTGTGTCGTTGTAGCGCAATGGATTGCGCGTTGGACTTCTAATCCAAAGGACGTGAACTAGAATCCCACCTGGGATGACCTGAGAATGTGATTTCTTTTTTACTATACTATTTCATTAGAATACTTAAATTTAATGAATGAATAAATAGCAACAAACAAAAAAAATTAGTCCAACAGCATATATAGAAAGGAAAATGGAAAATTGCTTTCTGTTTTGTCACTTAATATTCTGATTCTGCCATATGTATATACATACTTGTATTAAATGTAACTATTTAATAAAAAGTAACTAAAATAAAAATTTTCTTTGTTGACCTAAGTAGGAATTAACTTAATTTTTTATATTAAAGCTTACCCGCTTGCTGGTATCATGAGTTTATAAATTTTACTGCTATATATATGTATAAATTATATCTAATCTTGCATTAAGAATTGATTAATGAAATATACTATACCTGTAACTGTCACCTGTTGATAAAAAAAAAGAGCAGAACTCATCTAATTTGTATTTTCTAAAAATCTCTAAAATTGAAGCATAGAATGATGTTTGCTCTTTCGTAACTCAAAAACCAAGTGGATTCCCGCAAAATCAATTTTCGGTGGATCTCTACTCCGTAAATTGAACATGCAAGCCAAATTTCAAGTCTAAATCTAACAGAAAAAAACAAAAGTTTTACTATCAATATCCCCGTAATCCCGTCGAGAGCCGTTTTCCAAAATTACCGCTCTTAGCGGATTTCAATTCAACAAAAGAAAAATGGAAACCAAATTTCATTATTATGGTCCTTGTAGCTCGAAAAAAGTAATTTTTTTTGTCAATACGTCCCAGTAACCCCCTGCAACCCCCCATAACTTGATTTGCTTAAAATTTATTCTTAGTGGATCCCTATTCAACAAAAGGAACATGCTTAACAAATTTCAAGTATATGGGTCTAACAATTAAAAACAGGTATTTTTTTCTGTAACTCCTCTTGACCACTCACAAACATCTTTAGGGGTCAATTTTCATTTTACTCTTTGTTAGAGGAACTCTATTTCATGAAAGGAACATGCCTACCAATTTTAAAGCAGGATGATCAAGTAGTTTAAAAATGGAAATATTTATCGATTACGCCTCTTAATCTCCCGAAATTAAACTTGGTAGTTGATATTCGCGAAACCCATTTTGTAGCGGTTCTCTACTTTACGAAAGGAATCTGCTTATCAAATTTCAAGACTGTACGTCTAACAGTTTAAAAATGGGGATAATTGTCTATAACGCCCCTTGAGCCCCCTCAACGCCACTTCTGGGTCTGTTTTCACAAAACCCATTTTGTAGGGGAATTGCACTCTATGAAAGGAATCTGCTTAGCAAAATTTGAAGACTGTGCGTCCAATTAATTAAAAATGCAAAAAAATTATCAATAACGCCCCTTGAACCCCCGCAACACCACCTAGGGGGTCGATTTTCACAAAACACATTCTGCAGTGTATTTCTATCCTATGAGAGGAATCTGCTAACCAAATTTCAAGACTGTGAGTCTAATAGTTTAAAAAAAGAAATAATTATTTATATCTGCCCTTAACCCCCCGCAACACCCCTTGGGGGTCAATTTTCTCCAAACCCGTTTTGTAGCGGATATTTACTCCATGAAAGAAACATTCCTACCAATTTTCAAGCAGGTAGGTCAAATAGTTTAAAAACGAAAATATTTATCTTTTACGCCACTTATTCCCTTGCAACGCCAGTTAGAGGTCTGTTTTCACAAAACCTTCTTATAGCTGATCTCTACTCTATGAAAGAAATATCTTTATCAAATATAATGACTGTGCGTCTAATAGTTTAAAAATGGAAGTAATTATCTATAACGCCCCTTAAGTCCCCTCAACGCCACTTGGGGGCAATTTTCACGAAACCCATTTTGTAGCGGATATTTACTCCAGGAAAGAAACTTACCTACCAATTTTCAAGCAGGTAGGTGAAGTAGTTTAAAAACGGATATATTTATCTATTACGCCCCTTAATCCCCCGCAACGCCACTTAGAAGTCTGTTTTCACAAAACCCGTTTTGTAACTGATCATTATTCTACGAAAGGAATCTATATATATCAAATTTAAAGACAGTGCGTCAAATAGTTTAAAAATGGAAATAATTATCTATAACGCCCCCTAAGCCTCTGCAACGCCACTTGGGGGTCGATTTTCACCAAACTCATTTTGTAGCGGATCTCTACTCTCTGAAAGGAGTCCGCTTACCCAATTTCAAGATTGTACATCAAGTAGTTTAAACATGGAAACAATTATTATTAAAGCCCTTAACCCCTCGTAACGCCCCTTGCGTTCCGAATTTCGGAAAATCCGTTCTTAGCTGATGTCTACTCTATCAAAGAACATGTCTACCAAATTTCAAGTCTGTAGGTTGAATAGTTCCAGAGATTTCGTGATTAGTCAGTCAGTCAGTCAGTGAGTGAGTCGCTTTTCTCCTTTATATATATAGATTTATTTTAACAGAGTATTAAACCAAAGACCTTCGTAATTAGCCTTTAAAAATGAATATTTAAACAGTACTTTCAACTATTCAAGTTTAAAGAACTTTAAAAATCTTCAAAATAATCTTAAAATTCAACCTTTATAATAAGGATTCTTACTGGAATAAATGCGAATTAAAACAAACAAATTATGTTCGCATTTCTGTTCCCCAAAAATTTAGCCGATAAATTTTGCAAATCTTTATTAATGTTAAAGTGTATAAAATATTTATTTTATTTTAATTTTTAATTCTTAGATATTACTCAAAATTTTCTTTCACAAAAAGCAAACACGAGACTCAAATCTAATATTTAAAATAGAGACTTCCGAAACACAGAGATGCACATTTCCCTAACTGTACTCTCGCACATAAAAACAACACACGAGGGAAAAGCATTTAGAGAGAAGGATGTAAATGTACTCATTAGATCAAAAAGTTTCACAAAAGAAGAAGAACGTTTGAGTAAAAGGAGGAAACTTTCAGGGACAAGTAGACAATAAGCGTTTTCTTTTTTAAACGAAAACACATGAATTATGCAACACTATTTATATTGCTTAAGCGATCTTCTTATAGGAGAAATTGAATTTTAAAAGCTTAAAATTGCGTTTGAGAACACATTTTCTATTTGAATATAGAATTCGCTTTTTTACAGAGGATTCATACAAGAGAAATAAATAACTTGTCAGTTGCTTCTGAATATTTATTCAGAGGAAACAGATGTATCTGATTTTATTTAATAGAATATTCTGTTTGCTCTTTTCAATAAAAATACGCATTCGGTTCTTTCAATGATTCGTTGCGAAATTGGGATTGAAGCTTCTTAAAGAATCAACACTGGAAAAAAAAATTTTTTATCACACTTTCAGTGTTAAAATTTATTAGATTTTTTCATCATATAATTTTAAAAAAATTCAGAGTCATTGCATATTTTTCTGAGAAATATTTCATTCTGTCACAAATACTCATTTTTATCATAGATTGCAGTTTGATGCTCTAGAGAAGAATTTTGCAAAATTAATGTTAAATGATCATCCAATTATATCAAGTTGTCATGATCGCTCGATACTTTTGGTTCGACTTTGCTCTTCTCGAGCCATTGTTTCGAGTATTGGTGCACGAAAAAATCATCATCCTTGGAAACCAACGCGCATTCAATCCCTCGATGCTCAAAGTCCTTAGATTGCCCTATTGAGGAAGTTTGAAGAGTGAATTCCATGTGTTACTGTAATCCTTTGGCCATGGTTCAAAATTATAAAGTCGCCAATAGATTTCGTGTTCAATAACACACTGACTCGCTGGAATTAAAATTTTATCTTTTACTCCACGCTTTCAAAACCATTCATTGATACTAAAAAATATTTTACTTGAATTGCATTTAGGAAACAAAAAGTGTCCAATTATCTACAAACTGTTCTTATTTTTGAATCGAATGTTGTTTCCTCAACGCAACTCTAATGGAATTGATTACTTAAAGTTTCTGTAATATTGACATAAAAATTGTAAACAGAAAATAAAAAAGTTACACACATATTTGAATTGTATATGAGTTTAGAAATCCGAGACCAATATTTAAGACTTTTAAAAATTCTTTATGCGGCATATTGGATTTAAGTATATGTGAACAACAAATTAAAATATATATATATATATATATCTAATAAAAATACTTAATACTCTTTTAATTGCTTACAACGTACATATAAAAATATACTAAAGTTTAATTACAAAATATGTATGATCAAATGTTTTTGTTCTTATCAATGCTAATTTAAAATTTTTCAAATTTAATGAAAGGGTGGATTATACAAATATTAGAAAATATTAACATTGATCCCTATGCCTCTAGTAAAAATTTCAAATAATATTCATCATTTTTGCAGAAACTTTTGCTTGTTATCTCAAAATTAAAGTAATTAATCAACTTTCTGAATTTCATTCACTCGCTCCTGAAACAACAAAACACGTACTGGCCCTGATACATTAGTTCCACCTCCTTTATAAATCATGTGTAGAGTAAAGTTGAGATAAGCAGCTTGCTGATGGGAACGGATCCTTAAAGCGAATTCAATTAGGCTCTCAGTTCACCTATATATATATATATATATATATATATATATATATATATAATTTTCTCTACTTATCCAGGTTATGGATGGCTCTGATGATAACAAATGGTGCTGGTGGACATTTTTAACACTCTCCTCTTTTCATCGATTAGTCACCTTTTGTTTTTCTCAAAACTCTTTTAATTTTCAGAGTTTGCTTCTTATAATTAACTGAAAAAATGTTATTTAAAGAGAGCTGCATCTGCATTTGAAAGACTAAAACTTTAATGCCT